AGTGTGAATTTTCATCCTCATGTCGATTATGCAATTCAAGCCTGGCACCCATGGCTAAAACACGACTTTAGTGCATTGGAACAGCCCCAACGTCGAGCATCAAAGTACATGATTGGAATGCACCAGCTTCCATAGGAAGATAGGCTAGAACGATTGAGGAGTATTCAGCGGACGTTCCCGCCGCTTACGATGTGACTTGATAATGGTGTACTTAATGTTGCATGACCTACATCATGTGTGTCGCTCTTTACTGCAACTCAGCAGTAATACCAACGTGAGAGGTCACTCACTAAAACTGGCAAAACAGTACAGCCGCCTGGATTGCCGCAGAAATTTCTTCTCCGTCCGCGTGTGTCACCGTGGCTCTTCCAGAATCGGTCATTTCCGCACCATCACTATCCATGTTTAAAAGACGTTTGGATGACTCACTTACTCATTTACACTTTGTTAACTAGCACTACATCTCCATCCCACCCCTGGAATATACTTTGGATTAATTTGCAGTCACAGGTGTGCTGTGAAAGTACACGGATCGCAGGACTACAGCGAAACAAACCGTAAGTCCCTCTTCCAAAAGTAAATAACCCGCTGCTTTTTTATTTTTCGAGAACCCTACAAAACCACCCAACGGGACATGTTTGCTTCTTAACCCGTCTAAATTCTTTGTCCGTAGTTGATGAAAGTTAGTACACGCAAATTGACGGAGTGTCGATTAGGTGCTCCTTGCCAATATTCTTCGCGCCAACCATCAGCGTGGATCACTTCGACCAGTCATCGCCTTACCTGACCATTGCCGATAATATATAGACGAAAACACTGACTGTATTTCAGCAGCAAAAGTAGAGGTAAGTAGTTTTCAATGGAGTACTCACCACCATTGACTGGACTTCATAAGAATTCGCAATCCAGAGACAAAATGAGAAATATTCGCAAAACTCCGCAGGAAAGCAGACATCCCGCCCAGTTCATTAGAGAGCACATCGTAGTTTGTGACTGCATTAGCGCGTTTGGTACTGTGTCAGAAAGGTATGCGTTCATTTCACATGCCATCAGGTGGAGAGTTGCCTTCAAATTATTGAACAGTGAGACTTTCGGCCGCAAAAGTTAGCATTACCAGCTGTCCAAACACGTAAGTGTGGGAACCGCATCGTGTAGTACCCAATGCATCAATGACAGAACTCCGTCACAGGATGAATTCTAAAGCACATTAATTTGTTTGTACCTGAGAAGAAAGGCACCTCGGAAGACAATCAGCTGCTTGAGGACACCGAAGGCCGAGTACCATGTAACGTCAAATCATGATCAGAAGTATTAGCAGTTCTATCCCGAAACAGTTGGTCAGAATGGAACGGAAAATTATAATCAGCGACAAAAGCCTAGCCTCCAATGTTGCAAGACAGCGATACACCAAATAGCTTAGAGAACGACAACCAATGGCAGACAAAGCAACTAAAATCATTTCCCTAAGCAAAACTGGTCAGGCCCTCAAATCATGCAATGACTGTAACGTGCCGGACACTAAAGGCTGCACATGCGCTTCGCAGTTGTGAGCAGACTGTATTCGTGTGACGTCGTAGCGCATCTCAACTGACCAGATTCACCTGAGAATCGATCGCATAAGCATTTACTAGACCTGGGTAGGTCCCCAAAGATGTCAAGCAGCACTGGACCGATTAGCACTGGCTGTCAACTATTTTGGGCTATGGTTTGCTCCATCGAAATGCAAAGTACTTCTCCAAGATTGGCAGGAACCCACCCCTGCGCTGACCCTTGGTGGTGATCAGCTAGAAGCGGTTCAGGAATGCAGGTACCTGGGCAGCTATATTAGCGCCCATGAGATCGAAGATGACATTACGAACTGTATAGTAAAAGCTCGAGGTGCGTTTGTCAATCTCTGCCACCTGTGGCGCAGATACGACATCACTCTCGCCCTGAAGGGCAGAGTTTATAATGCAGCTGTCCATTCAATCCTCTTATACGGTTGTGAAACCTGACCCATCAGGTCAACAGAGATAAAGAGATTAGGCACGTTAGACCATCGCTACCTTCGCAGCTTAGCTCATGTCTAGATGGAAAAACATGTGAGCAATGAGCGCGTTCGGCGTCGCCCATTTAGTGCAGAAAGAGCCAGTGAACTGCTCAGCACCATTATATCACACAAAAAGCTACAATGGCTCGGCCACGCGTTGCGCATGCCAGTCCACTGACTTCCGCGACGTGTGTTGTTTGCGCGCCGGGGGTGAGGATGGAAGAAGAGGTGACCACGCGATGAGTTGGTCGAGAGGAAAGAAGGCCCTCACTTCAAAGATGGCTTCGGTTGGATCCTTTCGGCTCTCTGGTTGTGGTCCGAAAGACAATGAATCTGTTTGGCTGGATACACTTGCTGATATGGCTAGGAGCAAATCTCAATGGCATTTGTGTTTTGAATTTCTTTGTCCCTCCCCCCCTCCAACTACAATCTCAATTATTAGGCATAATATAACTTTTTTGGCACAATAGCCGGCTGTTAGCTCTCAGGAATGATGTCCACCCGTTACTGGTGACTCGACCAGCGTGCCTCTATTGCATGTCTATTTTTCTTTCTTAATGTATTACGGTACAATAGCTAGGTGTTCCCTACCTGCAGCTAACGCAGATAATGATGATGATTTTGGTCCGGAGTTCACGGGCGCACGGTGCCATCATGAAGTTTCCTACAAGTGTGAACACCTTATCAGTGTTGTCGAAAAAAGTTTCTTTCCATCAAGTGTGGTAGTTGGAAGACGAGCAGGTATGCGCATCAGTGAGAAATATCCCATAACTGGAATAGAACTGCGAGAAGATTACTGATTGAATGTGATGGTGTCACATGTTGATGGACGAACGCTGCAGTCGACAGCCGCAGACGAAGACTCAGTAATATGAAATCAGCACAACGCATCAGAGGTATTCCTGGACCGGAGTTAAGATAGACTCGGTGGCCACCTAAGGGAACAGATCCTGAGCGATCACAGAACGGGTGGGAATATCATGAGTGACGACTGTGAACACATCCAACTCGACGGTAATAGCAGCAAGTCTGTCATATTCGATGGCGATAGCGTCGCTAACGAAGAGGGATAAAGGAACTGCTTGATCAGCATTTTGGCTTTCCTCACGGAGAACTCGGACGCGTTTGTCACACTGACTCTAGCATGGTAGTACACCAGTAGACAGATGATGAATAGACAAAGACGTGTATGCATATGTTGATGAATTTGCTATCTCAACGTCCTTAACTCCTCCTGATGCTATTAACATTCACGTGTTCTGTAGTACAAACTTGACGTGCAAAGAAATTCGTCCGGAATTAAATCGTGCGATACTTTGGGGTTAACATTTGTGGTATGAATTATTGATTTCTCTGTCCAAGATGCCTGGAGCGCAGCAAACTGAGTAGAAAACTAAAACGAATGTACGACATTTCACCAGCCGTTCCAGTCAGTGCCCCATAAGCTGCTGCAATACATAGAGCACTGTTCTTTACAAAAATATACCGGTTGAGTATCAGACAGAAGCCGTATTGAAGCCTGAGTGTGCATACGGTGACCGAGAAAGCCATCGTTGGCTGTGGCATAGCATGGAAGCATATCTCGCGCGAGTCGAAAGATTTAGGAGACTAAGGGCCTCTAGCTAGAGGGGTTGGAACCAAAGTCGGATACGCAACACATCTCCTCAATAACTAACTGCACCACGAGACAACTCCAGGTAGTGGAGTAGAGACATGTAAATAAATGCAAGTGCTTAGCTTAACTGCTGCTGGATAAGCGTAAACTGACATAGACTCGAATCCCATCACACTCACCATGCTGCTGTTGGGGTCAAATTAGCCCGATCCGTCCGGATGCAGAATCGAGCATCGACAGGAAAGCAAGGCAACATAAAAGCGAAGACAAATGCAACTCGTATGCGTCAAAATATCTAATCAGAATTATGTGTAAGATATATGCAGACTGTATCAGGAGATCCCGAGTCTGGTTGATTAGTAATCGAGCTCATTAACAAACAATGGTCAAAGTGAGGCGACTGGAGAAGCAGTGTGCAAGGTCATCTAGTTTAGAGAAGAACGAGAAATAGCCCCACCAAGGTAAGTCGTAAACTCAGTCTGCTTGCACAAATAGGGTTTCAGCGGTCGGATCGCTGTAGCTTCGGCAAACTGAAGCAAACGGACATTGCTTTGAGCTAATTACCCTGAATGGTTCACGAAGACTTCTGCATGTAGTGCAGTCAATGATATGCTGTGGAATAGGGATAGCCGGCAGCTGGGAACCATTTGATGGTAAAGAAGTGCTACTACGCTAGTGAATTGGTGCTATTGCACCAAGTTAAGAAGTTGCTTTGTAAATCCAACTAGGAAAAGCCACACCCTCATGTTACCGCCTCTTGTGTTCAACTCTTCCGCTGTACTTGTGGTAGCTAGCCCGTCAGCCGAACTGAGAGGAGTCCGTCTATAAGAATTTCAGAGAACATTTTACGTTTCTAAGCTGCCGGTTAGCTCTATTCTGTGGCATTTCTTAGACTGCACTACATGCTGAAATCCTCGCGAATTGTTCAGAGCAATTGGTTAATCAAGCAATGCCCATTCGCTTCAGTGATTCAGCAGCTGAAACTCTATTTGTGCAAGCAGATTGAGTTCACGGCCAACACTGCCTTGGTGAGGTTATTGACCATTTTTATTTAAACTAAATGATTGAATTTGCGAATAGAAAAATCGCCGATCTAATCGTCATTAGCGACCTGTTCTGGCAAACTCTCCTACTTGGAAGACTACGTGTGTCCGCGGAAAAATCAGCACGATGTACAGTTGCTACACTGTTGTGTACCCGAAAGCGGCTTTACACGTCCACGACTGTAGGGGCGCCCAAAGCCTGTGTAGGTTGGGAGGACATAAACTGGGTGCGTAGATGTTGTCAACTAAGTGTGTGAATCGCTAAATGACGGAGTCATACAAACCACCGATGTGACCTTTGATCATATCTACTCAAGAATGTTCAGAGAAGTAGCCGATAGGGAGCATACAGTGGGTGAATTCGGAAGTTTGGGAACTGAGAAAGTAATGGTTGAAGGCGACATGGATAGTGATTGCTTTAATGGTGAAAAAACGCGGGTGGTGAGAAGATGGAGTAATCAAATGATCCACTTGAAGATTTCGCTTCGGAAAAGCACACAAAATGCATCAAAAATGGCGCAAAATAGGTAAAAAAAATTAAAGCAAATAGGCGCTAGTGATCGGTGTATGTTAACTGAATCAAGGAGAATAAATAGTTAATGAACCGGAAAAGCTGGTCCCAGTAGAATCGGAAAGGAAAGCCTGTTAGGTTGTATTCCCTAACATTCACGAACAGTCGGAAGAAACCGACGTCAAATCGGGGGAGGGTAACAGGGTGCGTGACACATCTACACTGGTTCTGACACGTAGTTGTTTTGGGCACGAGCAGTAGCAACGCGGTCGGATTCTTCTCGAGCAAATGCCGCTGGGTTCGGATGGTTCACATACCCATGTGGAGCAACTGCTATCAAATATTCACCAGCCGGTGCATGAGAATAACCCGATATCAAATTGGTGCTCTCTGAACTACAAAGTGGAAGCGAATTCTCGTCATGGGAAGTCACGCGGCTGGAGTAACAGCACAACGAATGTGAAACCGTGGAAAGAGGGCAGATAGCGGAAGGGAATCGACCGCCTGGAATGCGGTGTGCTCCATTTGACTCTGAGAAGTAAAAGGTGGAAACATTGATTGCAATGTGATTATTCAATCAGAATGAATAGATTGATAGAAGGAGAGAGCAATACGATCAAAGAAAGGCGGGCATGACAGATTCCACCACTGGATACGGATGGGCCGACGTTTGTGTGCGTTACGGTGAGTGCTTCATCGTTTGTTTAAATTCATCCGTCGCTAGTTATGGACAATACATAAACCATTTTCACTTTAAACTGGACATTTTACAAAGCAGACTGGACACGCTGTATTTTGAGCTAGAAATTTGGGAAGGAAGAGTGAGAAAAGCGACAAATTGCGGTTAAGCCAACGCATCCCGAATTGTGCAAACAGTGAGCACGAGTGCAAGTTTTTCACTTGATCACGTGTCGCCCACCTGAATCAAAGGCGGTGGCTCAGTTGTTCCCTGTCTCTCATCGTTCTTCGTGCATGGTGTGTGAGAGAGCCAGTGCAGTTGCGTACAGGAAAGCCAGATACTCGAGATTGGATTCAACTGAATTATGCTACCGACATGGGCACACCCAAGAACAGGGACCCGCGCGGATGTCAATTTGCCCACAATCAGAGGCCGCACAGTGGTGCTGAATGTGCTAATGAACAACCAAAGCACTGATAAGTAAGAGCTCAACAACGATAGCGTAAAATTCGCAATAGTTGTCGAATAGCCTGTGGCGCGTATACGCTGCAGACAGTAGGTGAACAGTGCATGGATGATCATGGACAAGAGCGGAATCCACATGCCGAACGATCAGAAGAGAATCCCGTGCCCTCTGTAGCAATTGAAGTTTTTTGTTACCCTACTCCTACATACCAGAGGAATGAAGACCCTCACTTCTGAGCTGACCTCGGTTGGAGCCTCTCGGCTCCTTGGTTGGGGTCCGAAAGACGATGAACACGTTTGGTTGGACACACATGCTGATATGGCTAGGAGCCGACCTCAGTGGCGTTCGTGCTGTGAGTTTCTTTGTCCCACCCTATCCCTCTTATCCTCCCCCTCCAACCACGATCTCATTACTTAGCCTTATATAATTTTGCATAATAATTTTGTTGGGTGCACAGCAGCCGGCTGGTAGCTTACCGGAACAATGCCCATCCGTTACCGGTAGCTCAGCCAGCTTTCACCAGTTGTTGTTTTTGTTCTCTCCTTTTTTTCTTCTTTGTATTGCGGCACAGTAGCTGAGGTGTTCCCCACCTCTAGCTAACGTGTATGATGATGATGATGACTCCTACATACCAAACCCAGAAAAAAACTTGTTTTCGAAGGTGAAAGTGTGGGCTGATCAACCCGGTGAATGACCAGAGGATAAGAGCAGTCATCCAAGTGAACGTCAAAGTTGTAACGCAACAGGGTTGAACGTACTCCGTTCTCAATAGGATACTTGGTCTAACAAAGGCAGCAGAGAAACAGCTCTCCATCAACTGACCGTCTTTAACGTTAGTATTTTCCCTCCGTTAATAAATCGCTAGTGGTCTGCTTAAAAGATACACGGTGTCCAGTTTGGTTTGTAAAGCGTCCAATGATAATGATGTGTATCGCAAAGCCATGTAAATTTCCATGAGTTAACTTTGCCGAATAAACGCCTGTCCCTGAAGAACTGACTTCTGCGACAATAATACGCTAGCAAAACAGCAGAAGACGACGATGAATTAGTTGAATTATACCAAAATCCTCACCACTACTCATCAATAATTTAAAACCTATCGGTATGACTTCTTAGTCCTACGTCGTACATAGGCACTATTCGGAAAATCCAAGCTTGTGAGGCTAGCCACTGTCCTCTGTACAGTTCGTAACTGGCATGGCAGTGGAAGATGAGCCAGGCTATATCATAGTTAACTGTCAATCACGCAGGTCCGCGGCTGTCACCCATGGCGAAGGAGCACTAGCTGCTGGCATCCTGGAGTCATGGGGGCGGAACCCGGCAGAGGCCCGCTGGGAGGCGCACCAAAAACGATACCAAGAAGGTCGAAACGCCGGCGTCTGGTACTTTTCCAGACTAGCCTAAGCCTGCTGACTGGGAGTGACGATGATGAATTAGCTGAAAAAAGAGCAGATAATTTCGGTAAGAAGACACCTACCCATCTCAATCTACAACTGTGATTGTGCTCGCACCCAGACTCTCGTTGGTGCTCCGTGTGGTGTTTGTTCCAGTCTACGGGACCTGAAAGTAGTGCACAGCCGGCAGGTGACCTAACAGTGATAGAAGATGCGGGCGGACAGACCTAAGCTCCAACAGTGAGCGTGCGTCCACCCTGGCAGCGCACTTCGCTTCCGCGTTTGCAAACAACCCGATGTTTGTACCCAGTTCAACATGCGCCGCCTTCACCGAACTCCACAGTTCATGATGGGCCCCACCTACTGATTCTCAAGTCCATATCGGCCATTATCTCGGCTGCTGTGACTGACATGTTCAACAAGTCGCTGTCTAAAGGTTCGCTGCTGATTAATTGAAAATGCTCGGTGGCAAGGCCGTGTCCAAAAGGCGATGACTCCAGCAAAGTAAACAACTACAGGCCAAGTTGTTTGACATCTATTTTGGCCAAGGCTTCCGAGAACATTGTGAAGAAGAGTTTGCTAAACCTATTTCGGTCAAAAGATGTTCCAACACCCGCACAAGACGGTTTCACTTGGGGTCGTTTATGCACCATCAAGATACTCGTGACGAGGCATGAATGGTCTTTCGACTGCTTTACATCGAGTTCAGCAAACCGTTCGAGGTTCTCCTTCACAAGCTGAGAGTATGCAGTTTGGCCAGCTAACTGCACCAGTGGATTCGCGAGTTTCTCGTTGGACGAAAGTGTGGAGCACAAGTCCATAGCCCCTGACCGAGTGGTATTCTTTGACCAGTGGCGTGCCCGAAGATACGGTGCTGGGGAGTACATTGTTCCCGTTCTATAGCAAGATATACCTCAGCTTCCTCGGTCACCGCGTGCCTGTTTGCGGATGACCTGAAGATGTACAGAGTGATAAGCACATCCGACGACTGCGGCTTACTTCAATAAGACCTAAACAGCCTTTCCATGTTGTCTGCAGAAACGCGCCTCCCGGTCAACCTATCCACGTCAGTAGTAATGAGTCTGAGGAAGGATGGTGAAGGACGAAGCTACACACTTGACAGTAAAATGCTACATCCCAGATCTTCCGTGAAGGACCTAGGCGTGCTATCACGTTGCGATTTGAAGTCCGTGGACAACACGAAAAGGCTAGACCGTAACAGACTTCACATGTTATGGGTGCTGGAAGGCAGCTTCTGCATCTAATCTGAAAAGATCGCTTCTCACTTCTTCTCCTCCATCATCAGACCAATACTAGAGTACGGCTCGCTCGCCTTTTGCTCGACCACTAGCGGCGAAGTGCGGAAAAACATATGAGTCCAACACGTCGTTACTAGGCTCCTCCTCAGTTTACGGGGCTTACCGTACGAAGACAAGTGTGAGAAGCTGTGACTGTAAACCTTGGCCTACGGTCGGGTGCACATCGACACCATCATGAGCTATCATATATTGCATCTAGGTGACTTCTCCATGCTGAGGCCGCTACTCCACTTGCGAACAGCTTGCAGCACAAGCGGACATCAGTACAAGCTAGTGTGGTTCCAAATATGAAGCAAATTCCGCATTCCCAGTGTTTTGAACAACGAGTGGTCAATATTTGGGACCGCTTGCAGGAGCATATAGTGGAAGCAAGCTCGGCGCAACAGTTCAAAAGTTTGTTGGATATACATTACTCCTGTGTTCGATTTTGTGAACGGTTACCTACTGATAATGATATCACACATATGTGAAGCGCAATTTATCGTGAGTTCTACCTTATTCTTTGCGATATCAGATGAAAACGTGAAAAACTATCAGTGTGTTGACATGTCATAGATAGTTTTTTAACGTGTCTAATCATGTTTCGATGGGGCTGCACAAAGTCAAATTTCTACTTGCTCCCAGAACACAATATTCAGTATGATTGACGGGAATAAGTATGAGCTGCAGGCAGAATGCACGAACGGAACATGGGTCAGTGGAGTAACGTAATAACCACATCTTGTTGGAGGTATGGTATCGATGGAGTGAAAATATCTAACTAAAAGGTGGTAAACACAAGCAGATGCATCCACAGGGTCAGAGATGCAGTGGTGGGTCGCTTCAGCTTACCATCTAGCAAGCGTGCACATATGTGTGAGGGAATTGTTTCCTTGACACACGTCGCCAAAATAATGAAAATGGTAAGAGGGATAAACAGGAAATAAAAGTATCAGAAGGGATGGGTAGGGGAAGAAACAAAGAGAAAAATGAAGAGGCGCCCCTCACTTCGCGACCGCGACATAGTTGGTGGATTAGATTGCCACTGGTGTGACCTATCACGGAGCCCAATTCAGGAAGGTGATAAACACGGACCCGAATCATCCATTTGATGACTTTCTCGCCACGCTCTGTCGTCATGTCTTTGGTTAAGCGCCAAATTGGGTGCGGTACTGGCAATCAACACTTTCCGAGGTAACCGGAGTCGCGGCATGCGGAACAAATGATCGAGTTACTGGAGTTGATTGGAGTTCAACACGCACTCCAATGAAGTACCGTAAAGTCGGTTGCCAGACGCTAGACGATGAAGTTCGGTGTCGATATGTTGGTTCACTCAACAAACATGAGTGGTGGTTAAAAAAACTCAGTCACCTAACGTCATCCGCGTGAAGTGGCCAAGTCCCTGATCCATACGATAACCCAGAGACCGCACTGCAGCACTGTAAACCCGTCCCTTAACCAACGCACTCACATCGCGCTATATCAACAAAGCTATAAAAAGCCACATGAACCTTAATCATATTTGTTGTAGTCTCTTCAGTGGTGCGATCATCACTGGTACAGCTAGCCAACTAATTGAAGCCGTGGCGTGTAGGCTCAGTCATGTAGTAGTTATTTGAATGTTGTAAGCAGAAAGCACATGCGAAAGCGTGCATCGCTACGCGCCAACCTATCCGGCAGCGCCAGTATATCAGCCAGATTCTATTCAGAGAGAGCTATGGAGCCTCCATATGACAGTCATGTACCTAGTATGAGCTCTACTCTTGAAGAGAACGCTGCATGAAGTCATCCGTTAGCATTGCGGACACAAACATAATGAGAAAAAATGGGGGTGTCAGCTGTACGCTGTAACAGTGCTTCGCTGCCACGCGACCACCACCAGTCGCGGGTGAACTGAGTACACCGTGAGACGCCGACCCCTAAGCGGATTCGAACCGGGGACCTTATGATTGCAAACCAGATGTGCAGACCACTCGGCCACCGGCCGACAATTCAAAGGGTAAAAGAGACAGGGCAGCTCACTCCTGAGACTCATGAGACTGTTTTTCCCATACATGGTGACAGGAGCCACAGAATAAAAGTTAGAATGGAGCGAAACTTCGCTGGCACGCGCTTCATGGATAAGCATCATCACAATCCCGTCCGAATTGCCGAATCGAAAAAGATTGTTATGTCAAGGAAGACTACCATGCTAGACCGTATGTAAATATGGTGCAGTCGGAACACTTAGCCAAGAGCAAAAATGTAGTCAACACACTCTATGTCGAAGTGAAAGCCAATGCTGGTAACTGTCAGTTAAAATCGTCAAATGCTAGATACAATGCTGAAGTAATATGAAATAAAGGTGGAGGAAAGAACGGTTGAATGTCGAGAAATAACCACCAGAATGAAGCAACACATGGACCAACCTGCACTGTCAGGAAGCAAACGAATGTCCGATCTTCTTGGTCGTGGGTGGTTAGTTAGCATTCGAAGTTCTACCGCGAGTGCTTTACCAACGGAATGCTATAAAACAAGGAATGAACACAGCGTGGAGCAGAAAAAGTATGTGGGGAGATGCAGAGGAATGCATAAAATGACAGAAACTTGACCAGCAGTATAAGTGAAAAAACGGTGGAACTGGATTCAGACTAAAGAAAAACTATGTCAGAAAGTTCGAAAACAAAAGTCTACCGTAGATCGTTAATTAATAAATAACAAAAATCGACGGTTGTTGGAACATGTGGTACGCACTTAGTCTCAATTCAATGGAAACTGCGGAAGACCATTCATTTAGTGCATCGATATCAGTCAAAGCAGGAAGACTGTTGTACTTCGCAGAGAAAATCCACTCTAACGAAAGTATACAGGGCAACTTACAGTCTGAGTTACTCGAGCGCAGTCATTACGCATTACTACTAACAAAACCGTGAGAGTAGGGTGTTCTCATCACAAGAGAACAAATGCGACTGTGCATAAAGTAATGCACAAAAAAGATCATGTACCTAACTTGAATCATAATAATATTAACAATAACAATGTATATTGTCGGGGTTAGGAGAAATGCCCTTTTCTGCATGCCCGAAATTTTACATTTGTTTCTTACAATGTTTACGGCATACATCAAATGTAAAGGCATAAATAAAAATTGTGTTTTTAACATTTATGGTTGTCCAATTCAAAATCTTGCGTGGACACAGAATAATTCATGGCGTTCTGACAGAAATTTCCGTGTAAGGAGGGTACCAAGTTTTCTTTTCCTTAGGTAAGGGTTGAGGAGAAATTGCGTGGTAATAAGAGAAACATTAAAGTTGAAATCAAACTTATAGAATATAGCATCTGGTTTTCGGTTAAACATTTTCTATATTCTGTAGCGTTCTAAAAAGGAGTAGTGAAAGACGGCGGTATTTATTCATTTTCAGTTCAGTAGCAATACATATGGACGGAGACAGATAGAATGGCAGATTTGTTTCTGGGGTGTAAGGTGAAGATGGTTGGTATTTGTTAGTTGGCTCAGGCGTTTTTGGTCTGACTTTACGCTAGGCGCAAGCGAGTAAGAGTAAAAATGAGAGAGAATCATTGGAACTAGGGATGAAAATGTTGAAAGTAGAATCTCGGTTAGTTTCACCTTACTGTCTGACATGTTCATATGGGGGACGGGCAACAACAAGGGAAGCGCATAGAAGTGAAGAACGAGTGGTAAAAGTGAATGAAGACGGATAGATTCAGCCGGCGTTTCTTTCTCATCTCATACTCTTTAGTATATCTGTAAGGTAGACTTGGCTGAGTGGGCAGAATATGAAGAATAGAGACAAAAGTGGTTATCTCAATCTCAGTTTGCAATTCCTCTGCAATCCAAACTTATTGGTGTGTCGGTGAGCTACGCTTTCACGAGTAAACAAGGATGGTTTTGCCAAATAAATACACTATACATAGCACATCTATGTATTTTCGTAACCAGCACACGCGTCTATGCTCCTTCCATCCATAGCGTTTCTGTATTGCAATTTAGCTGCAATATTGTTTATACGCATCGCATTGTCAAGCAGTTGGAAACCACCCTTTTGAACACTGGTTGCGATTCGTTTACGCTTTTTGCAATGTTCTTCGAACAGTAGTTTTCGTTTTGAACCCCAGGAGTGTGTACTTGATGTTCCTAATTGGGTATCTACCTTCTTGCTTTAAGTGAATAGTGATATTTGGTGCGAATACAACAGCAAGTCAAATAGGAATATCAATCTTAGCCTGTGCGTCTTAACATGTTACAATGAGTTATAGAGGAACTAGGTAAATTATCGCTACATGTTTTCTGGGCACACGCGATCACGTTTCCTGTCGCTTGTAAAAGTAATCGAGTAGTACTCTAGCATAGGGTGAATGTACGCCTAAAAAAAGCAGTGTGGGTTCACGCACCGATGGTGATTTTAAGATGTGTCTTGCACTTCTTCGTGATCTGACTGTTGTGAATTCAACTAGCCCACCAAACTGAAGTGTGCTATAATACCGGATGTCTAAGTCAGGTAAAGTATTATCACAGGGGGTGGGTTTGCTACGAAGGTGCAGTGCAATTGGCGAAAGTTCGCACTTACATGTTAACACACGGCATTTATCCGCCGAGAAGGACATTCCCAATCGGTACATCACAATTCCAAAGCCAGCAGGTGTATGCGAACGTTCTCTATGGTGTCGCTTAAAAACCGGAAATCCAAGGTGTATAATGAGATTATGTCATCCGTAAAGATATATGGTGTCCTAAATTATATTTTTTGTTATATCATTGATACACATTAGAAAGAGCAAGGGACCTAACACACTACCGAAAAACCGGGTAACTATTTGGTTTAAAATGTAACACACATTTGCAAGTGCTTTTGATAACGCTGTAGAAAATGCCAATTAATACCGTTCCATATCCTTAACCAGGAGAGCCTATGGTTCGCTGAGGCGGGTGGTGGCTAGATCCTGACAGATGATCTACCCACTGCTGCTAAGGTTGTACCATTGGCTAATGTCATGAACGCCTCCTTGTGGCGACCCGTCGGTAAGAGCTGGGTTACCCCCTTCTCCCTGCTAAGATCCAGGACACCAATCCGCATGAGTCGCTGAACTGACCATTTACTAGACCCACTGCATTTCGGGTGTATCGAACGCTTTGGCTGAGGACCCGAGTCGTTCTGCTGTTAGGTGTGGGCGCCCTGCCAGTATCTTAGTCCGTCCTCTTAGGAGGTTAGGAAGTGGTCGATGTCCCTCTTCCCGTAAAACCTAGCCATGGGAGACAACAAGTTTACTGGTTATAAGCTCACAGCTTGATTGGCGTAGATCTCGAGCGCCACGAATTGTCTCTGGCGGTGGGAGGGCATCTCCGGGTGTTTAATGGTTTGCTACTGCCCGCCTCAAGCCAGGCAGCCCCTAGTCAAATTGGTGCAAACCCACCAAAACCCACCACAGTCTGGCCGTGTTCGTTAGTGCGTATCCTACTACGGTCGCGAAACATATATAAATAGTTCCAGTACCTTCAAGGCTGCGTGTTACAGCTGTCAAGCAGATCCCAATCGGTCTCTGCAATCACGTTCCCGAGCGGGATCTGCTCCCCACTGTCTTGTGGGTCAGGCTATTGAACTAAAAGCTTTGGATGGAGTCCCTCAAGCAAACCTCCGAAGCACAACGACCACTTCACGTGCGATTGCCCACCAATGCAGTCGTATGCCTGCGCGCAAAGCACTCAGCATAGGATGCTGGAACGTGCGCACACTATTAGACCGGAACTCCAGTGATCAACCCGAGCGACGAAATGCACTGGTCGCGATGGAGTTGGCGCGTTACCACATCGATATTGCGGCGCTCAGTGAAACTCGGCTCGCTGAGCAAGGTAAGTTGCATGAAGCAGGTGCTGGCTACACATTCTACTGGAAGGGCAACACCGCCTCAGCGGCACGTGATCATGCGGTCGGATTTGCAATATCCCATCGTCTCCATGGCCACCTCGTGGGTGAACCAACAGGTATCAGCGCACCACTGATGACTGTTCGCCTACGACTCGGAAGAGGCAGGGTTGCCAATTGTAGAAGCACATACGGCCCGATCATGTGTTATCCTGATGACACGCGTGATCAATTCTACACTCAGCTGTCCTCCGTGATACGGTCTGTGCCGAGGAGAGACCGTATATTTCTGCTGAGTGATTTCAACGCGCGCGTTGGGCGTGATGCATCGGTGTGGGCAGATGTTATCGGTTCGCATGGCATTGGTTCAGCGAATGCGAACGGTGACAGGCTGCTCTCACTGTGTGCCACTCACAGCCTGACGATTACGAACACTCGGCTTGCACTGAGTGCGAGTGATATAGCAACTTGGACGCACCCAAGGAGTGGTCACGCTCACCTGATCGACTATGTCATTGTACGTCAGCGTGACATGCGTGAAGTGCGCATGACACATGTACTGCGCTGAGCTGAGTGTGACACCGATCACAAATTGGTTCGGACCAAACTGTACATAAATTTTCGTAAATCTATGTATTGCACTCTCGCCATGAATCGGCGTCAATTTACCATTCTCTCCCTCGGTACGGTGATGAGACGTATTGAGCTGGAGAAGGCGATGGCTGCACACCTGTGTGATGTGGGCTGCATAGCCACAGTGGGCGACCTGTGGCACCACATTCGCGACCAGGTGACAGCTGCTGCCGAGGAGACCATCGGGCGCGCAAACTGTAAGCGACCTGATTGGTTTGATGACAACAATGTGACGATTAGTGCATTGGTGTCGGAGAAGAATGCAGCATTTGCTGTACATGTCGCAGACCCCAGTGACTTAGAGAAGAGTAGTCAGTTTCGCAAACTTCGACGGCGACTGACCCGAGAACTCCGTCGCATTAAAAATGCATGGTGGACGGAGAAGGCGAAGCAGATGGAATGCTACGCCGAACGCCGCCAACACAAGGAATTCTTTGACTCCTTGAAGGTGTATGGACAGAGATTGGAGCCGCTGAGGACCCTGATCGATGGTAGTTCAGGCGCTACCTGCACACAGACTGCAGACGTATTGCAGATCTGGCGAAAACACTGACTGTCTCTTGAACAACCGTTCAGAGACCGACTGGCCTACATTGAACGGCCTCAAGCAGCACGATGTGAAGGCGAGTTTGGCTGACACGCCGACACTGGATGAGACGCAGAGAGCACTTGCTCAGCTGCGAAACGGCAAGTGTGCTGGGGCCGACGGGATCCCGCCTGAAGTATTGAAACACGGTGAACCCGCGTTGGTGACTGCGCTGCACCACTTGGTGCAACGCGTATGGATTGAGGAGGAGGTGCCTCCTGAGCTGAAGGATGCCATTGTGATACTACTGTACAAGGGCAAACGGAGCAAGCAAGGTTGCACGAATTATCGTGGCATCAACTTGCTGAGTTGTGTGCGCAAGGTGATTGCCCGAATACTGCTCAACCGCCTCGTCAGTCAGGTTGTGGAACCTAACATCGCGGAAGAGCAGTGTGGACTCCGCTCGGGTCGCAACACTATAGATA